TTTCGTTCTGTTTATATGTGTTATATACGATATTGGTTATTTATGTTTATTTTTTGTGTGAATGAAAACCTCCGTATGAGGTCTCTTGAACAGGCAGTTTGATTTCAGTTTTTTTGTATTGTCAATAAACTTGAGAAAAACGTAAGTAATTTTTTGCGTAAACCAGCTATCAGAAAAAATATATTAAGTTTTCCTTATGAACTTTAAGTTTATAAAAAAGAAAGAAAGATATCAATAATGATATATAATAATTTTTATGTAGGGGTTCCCTGAGACATGAATATTATTTCAAGGGTTCCGCAAGGGCAAAAAGGTTGAGAAACGCTGGTCTAGACCGACTCTGATACCGAAGGTCCTTTGACTGGGAGCTATAACGCTGTGGGCCCTAACGTTAACCACTCACCCACATAACGTGGCTTGAAGGCAGACAACCCAGTATATTGTAAAATGTCGTTTTATACGATACTGCGAAGTGAATGTTCCAGATCTGAATAATTGGCAGATGTACACTGCACTGCGCTGATAATGTGGTCGGTTTGTGGTGCATGTATCAGTAATCATAGACAGCATGGCACAGGGTACTGTATCATAACAGAGGTCAAACATTGTAATTAAAAAACTGTGTTTTAGTTCCTGCCTGATTGATAATACTGCCATTTTGTAACTAAAGGAAGTTTTGTGAACATGGCAGATAACTCGACATGTCCTCGCTTTCACTTGTTTCTTATCTAAGAGCCATTGAATTTTTCTTCCGGAAATGAAATTTAGGCTACAGGAGATAACATTATGTATGTTAGTCAAGTTCTCATTTTTATTTCACCTGTGATTTGCGTGACCACAATACTCACTCAAGAGGAATAAGTGTTCTTCGTCATAAATAAAAGGACACATTAGATCCCGAAAGAATCGTTTTGTATAATGTATTTTCATATTTAAACCTCTTCATGTCACGAACAACATGAAAAATGTTTCTTTTGTCGTAATTTAGTTCTAAAACATGGGTAATGAAGGTACTAACGTTGAAGTTAATATAGTTAATTTGTGAACCTAAGCAATTAAATGTAATCTGAAGCAACTGATCTTAAAAATAAGCACCCTGATGGAATTATGAACAAAGTACTCTTTTCTACAGAATTATACACAAAAGGCAAACATGTGTACGAAAGCCTGTCTACTATCCCCGAACATCCTGAATAGTCCTACCAGTTCTCTGTCTTTACCGAGATTTTCCAACAATTAAACTTTCTGAGGGACCACTTGTACGTTGTAGGCGCAGATTTCAATAAAATAAAAAGTGAATCTTAAATACATATAGTGGAAGGATTTATCTGGCTCGAGATAGGGACAGGCGGTGAACCTCTTGTGGACACGGGTACCATAAAAGACGAGGATGGCAATTTCTTCACCAGCTGAGCAACTGCTAACTTCTGAAAGATTCTGCTCTACGGAGTTAGAACAAGCTTTAATGTGGGTTCTGTAGTCATGTGCCCTGTAGCAACAGTCTATAAAATTGGGTGAGAAATATCTGACCCTTTCTAAGCTCGTGTAAAATTTCAGTAAAGGATAACAATATTAAAATTCTCGTTACCTCACATTACAAAAGGAACTTGCAAGATTTAGTAAGTTGAATAAATGGATAAATATCGTAACAGCAAAGAATCCTGTAGCTGTACTTGAAGAGCTGTTCATTCAGGCTTACAGAAAGCAAATTTTTAACGGTGTCATTTCTATGAGGTGAAATGGCGTACGTGGACAAACTTAGCAAATAAAAATGAGAGACCATGATGAATCAATACCTTGGTTACTTAACAGTAATCATTTTATTTTATATGTTATGCAGCATAATTTGAGAGGGGCGGTATTATCGTGAATGATTAATCGGGAGCGGTGACAAATAAATATTGTCACCTATTTTAGGGTGCAATCGCAGAATGTAGATCGTTTTTAGAAGTTTCTTGGTGTGCTTTATTGTAGGCCTCAGCGTGCCTTTCGCTGAGTACATAAACGGGGCAATAAAGATTGTCCCTCCGTATATTTTATCTCAAGAAACTCTTCGATGTTTTGGTGATACTTCAAATTGGGGCCTTCCCCCTAAGTTATTAGTAAATTTGATTTTTGTTCTTTTGGGTGCAGTCAAATATCTACTTAGTACGGATCTCAAATCCAGTGTTATTTATTTTATCAAAAACGGTTTATCGGATAGAAGTTGGTAGACCGTATATGACATCTTAATCCTGTATCCCATTATCACTAACATTTTTCGCTCAATGTGGTGTACATTTAAAAAAATACAAGTAGAACAAATTGTGACTCTACAAGAAATGAACATAAAGCAACATGATATTTGAAAAATATTAAATTGGGCATTTCGAGAATACGTTTATTCCGTTTGCATTTTTTGCCTTTTTACTCTTATTACACAGTTATCCTTTCGAATTCATTATTCATTATCATCCTGTCATTCGACGCTATGCAGTCTAAGCTACTGGAGAAAGCGTCGTTAAATATACTACAAATAAACAATAAAAATACGCAGTTGTGTTTGAACACAGTAAGTAAGAGTTCTGATTTAATCCCTAATGAACCTGAATTCTTCAGCATTTAATTTTACAGAAATACACGTTTGTTTGTTAACATTTGCAGAAGATTATACACATTTCGCTGCAGTGGAACTACTCGTCTATCCGCCTTCCTTATACGATTCTGTGACTGTAGTAACAAGACTAAACTAATAAAAAGATGCAAATATTGTAAGTGATGTAGGGATTTAACTTGGCTTAAAATGGGCAAGGTCATTTGGGTGACCTTGACTCAGGAATTTTAACACTATTAGGTATAGTTGACTAATAGCAAAAAATGCCCACAAATGTGCAGCTGTATGAAGAAAGAGAGGTTATCCTTGACGGAATTTGTTATTTGACGATTAAGGGCGCTCCTAAGTATGATATGGTGATCATCAGTTTGGTCTTCTTGGAAAAAGACGAAACGACTAAAATTCGCATGGGGAGTACTTCAAAAGTCCATTTGTTCCTGTAAAAACAATTGTAGGAAACGAGAAGTGTATATAAAGTCCAGCTTAAACACTTGTTGTTCTAGCAGGTGGACATGGACTTTCAAATCGCCCCGTATTAACATATTTATACCAATGCGTATCATGTACCAAAATGTTTCGGAATTTTCTCGCACCTCGAATCAGTTTAAACATTTAAGATTTCTACAATATTTTTATTTTCCGTCTATACACAAACTTAAAATAATGTTGTTTAAAATTATCTAAAATTATAACATTCTCAGTAGACACTGCATCTTGTTACATTTTTTGTATCGACGACA